CCGTATATAGGGGTTTTTTAATCCTTTGTTGGTTTTTGGTAATACAAAAATTTTTAATAAAGTGTGGCCTGACTGCCAAATTTTAAAAAAAAAAATACCTTCATTATCATTAAGCTCATTTTCTTGAAAAACTGATAAGTTATTAGCAATAAACTAATCAGTAAATAATTTTTTAAAGTTTTGAGAGATTTCAATAAAGCCTTGACTTGAACTTAAAGACCTTGAATCAATTTCACTATCAATTAGATACCTTATAGCAAATAAAGTTATATAACATTTTAACAAGTCTAATTCAATATTCTTGCAATTTGTTTGTAGTACTATACTTTTAAAAATTTGATAAACTATTTCTTTTATACTAACTGCTATATTGATAAGATTTTCATATATTTGCGCATATAATGCTAAATAAACATTAATATGAAGATTAGAAAGATTCACAAATTCTTCAAAAACCTAATAATAATTCTTATTTAATAAGTTTATACAAATATATTATATATACAAAAATCTGATTATTCTAATACATATATAGTAACTAAATATCTAATATGTAGTAACTATACCAATATAGTAATAATAGTTACTATATGCAGTTATAGTATATATATTAATAATACTACATATATATCATAACTATATATATATATATGTAGCTACAATATATATTAAGGTATTTAATTTTTGTATACGTAGCAATTACTATATCTGAGTTAATATTCAAACTTTAGTTTCTAATATTTGCTGAAGATTCATATAATCATCTTCTGAATATGAATGCTTGAATACAAATTGCATTGATTTTAAAACTAAGATCCAACATTTTATTAATAATTTTAGAACTAAATCAATACGATTAACATTAATTCTTTGCTGAATTTTTACTAATTTATTATACTTTAAATAGCAAGTTTTCAAAAATTAATTAAGAATAAATAGCATAATCATTGCTAATTGAAGATAATTAAACATCATAAAACTTTTATTATAGCTAATTGGGTTAGGTAGCTTTTTCCAATTTGTTAGATATTCAAAAGTTTTTCAAGATTTAATGAATGCTATTTGACCTTCTAGTGAAAACAATCAACTATTAAATTCAAAAGTTTCATTATTTTGCTAGCAGTTGTATGATAAATATCTTAGTATCTGAATATGCTAATCCTATATTAGTTGACTTAGTACTAGAACTTTGTTGCATAGTCCATAATTAGTAAAGATTATTTCATATTCTTTTACTATGCTAGCAGATAAAATTTTATTAAATTGTTTATTTGTAATATAGCAATACCTTGATAGCTATACAATATTTAAATTATTATTTGTTAATTGTTTTTTAAAAGTTTAGCAAGTTCTACAATCTTTGTTAGTATTATGTTGCTTTATATCTGCAAGATTATTTCCTTGTAGAAGATTAGCTATAACAACTCTAAGACCAGCAACAACTCAATAATCTTGACCTTGAATATTCATAACTTGACTATATTCTAATAATTTTATTTCAGTAATAAATAGTTTAATAAAATTATCAAAAGCTCGACCAAAAGGTACAAATCCTAATATAAAATGATTCTTTAATAGTTTTCTCATAAATATCGATATATTTCTGAATTGTAAATAAATTCCATCAAGTAAATGATATATATTTCGATATATTCCAAAATCATCATAATAAAGATCTATGAATAACTTAATAACTGGCATATCTTTATTAGGTAGTAAAAAGATCTTTGTATATTCAGAAGAATATTGATGTTCTAATAAAATACTTCTAATCTTCTAATATTTATTTATTTTATAGATTATTTCACTTATATTATGAGTAAATCTAGAATCTTTATATAATGAAGTAGTAATACTAGCATGTCTAATAACATCTTGCAATTCAATTAATATAATACTATTAAGTTCAAGTGAATTATTAATTAACCATACTTCACCAAGTTAAAAATGATATTGTCTATCATCATTATAAAATTTTTTTAGAAGTTCATGATATTTAATTATCTTTTAAACTTTTAATTTTAAAGTATTATCTGATATAATAATAGCTTGAATTCTTCCTAATTTTTCAATATTATCTTGATAATAAATAAAGTCACTAGTATAATATATGTCTAAATTTTAAAAATAAAATAATTAGTTTGCTAAAAACAAAAATAGAGTTTCTATACAAAAATCAAATATTTTTAGTAAATATATAGTAACTATATCTTAACAATATTGTTATAATATGAGATTTTTGCTAGGAAAATTACCTTTCAAAATTTTCTAAATTAGCTAATTTGAAAAAACTTAAACTAGAACATCAGTTTTTATTTATATAGAAATTATTTTTTACTTTACTAATATAATAGTTTATTAAATAAACTATTGTATCAATAAAGATAAAAGATAATTTATATAAATAAGAACTAGTATTCTGGTTTAAGTCTTTCTAAATTGATCTGTTCAAAAAAATTCTGAAGAGTAATTTTTATAGCAAGGATTCTATATAGTTATTATATAGTTATTACAAATATTATAGTTATTAATTAATAAAAAGATTATATTTGTTAATTTTAATTAAATCTTAACTATATAGTAGTAATTCAGCCTACAAACTACAATGCCAATATTCTGTTATGTTGGTAACCTCACAGCTAGGTCTAATATATATATACTTCATTAAAGAAGAGTTATTTAACACATACCAAATAATATCTTTAATAGATAAGTAATAAGTATCTTTAATATTTTTAGAATTTGAAGTAGTTTTCTTAGCTAAAATATTAACAGTCCTTGAATATATTAGCATAAGAGAAAGATTATATCTCTAATCTTTAAAGTGTTAGATATTCTTTACTACATAATTAATATTAAAATAAGGATGATGTATTATATTAACAAGATCATTATAAGTATTAGTAGCTATATTAATATTCTATTAGTAATTTAAATTCAAAATTTAAATTAATAATTAAGTTAAATCTTACAAATGCTATACTTATGTATTTAATAAAATAATAATACTGCAGTCAAATTTTTAAAATGTGGTGAAAATTCATTTGTATTTTGTAGTAATTTTTCAAAATTTAAGGCCTTGTCAACAATTTTTTTAAAAAATTTATTATTGAATAATTTATCTAATTCATCTGATTCATCTGATTTACTCAATTCATTCAATTCATCTAATTTATCTGATTCATTTAATTCATCTAATATATCTAATTCATCTGAATTTTCTCTTAAAAGACTATTTGTCAAATTATTTGAAGACTCTGAAGATATTGTTGTAAAGTATTCTAAATATAAGTTATCACTAATAAATTCTTCAGAAAAATTGATATTATTATCCTCTTGACTATAATTTAATTCTTCTAAAAAATCTATATTAACATCTTCTGAATTATTTGATTTTTCAGAAAAATCTATATTAATATCTTTAGAATATTTAATTTTTCAGAAGTATTTATATTAATATATTCAGAATTATTAAATTCTTTAAAAGAATTTATATTAATATTTTTTAAATCTTTACTAAAACTTTTCTAATGCTGCAAAGAAGAAACATGAAAAAATTTTTGTTTACTATTAGAAGTTAATTTGTAATTTTTTTGATCAAATTTATTTCTTATCATATTGATAATAGAAGAAAAAGTCTTTAAGATTATATTTAATAAAGTAAAAATAATCACTATTATTTAATATAAAGTATAAGAAATATTTATTTTATCGATAAAAATTTAACAGCAATATATATATAATATAAAGTATCTTTTATAAGTAGATTTTTAATATTTAATTTTAATAAAGATATTATTTTGTAATCATTATAATAATTAATCATTATGATAACTCATTACAAATTAATCATTATGATAAATAATTATTACAATAATAATTAATCTTATGATAATTAATTACAAATTAATATTATTGTAATAATTAATCTTATGATAATTAATCACAAAATTAATCATTATAATAATTAATTATTATAATAATAAATCTTAATATTAATTAATCACAAATTAATTATTAGCATATTATAATAATTAATTATTACATATGATAAAAATTAATCTTATGATAATTAATCACAAATTAATTATTAAAATAATTAATTATTACAATAATAATCTTATGATAATTAATCATAAATTAATCATTATCAGTATGATAATAATTAATCTTATGATAATTAATCATATTATAATCATTAATATTATAACTGAAGCTAAAAAAAAGCTAATACTAGAAATTTTAAATACTTTAATATAAAATTTACAACAAATTTTTGAATATATTTTCTATAAAATTTTTTTATAGTTAGATTAGAATTTAGAGTTAGAGTTTGTATCAAAAGAGTATAGTTAGATTTTAGAGTTTTAAATCAAAGCTTCTAATTTCTAGCTTTAGCTACAATAATTAATTAATTATTATTACAAAGAAATCATAACTGAGAACAAGAGTTACTATATAGTCTATATTATTTAATATTAATACAAATTTTAAATATTGTGTAAACAAAAAATTAAATTTTATAATATTAATGCAAATTTTAAATATCATGTAAACAAAGAGTTAAATTTTATAATAAAAAAAAATATCTATAAATAAGTTATTTAAATTTTATTAATTAATAATTTTATATTTCAAGTTTAATTAATAATTTTATTCAAAAATGAAAACTAATATTTTAAAATCAAAGTGAGGCTATTCTGTCAAGTCCTCTTCAAAAACTAATAATATCTTTAAGTTATCTTCAGCAAATAATCTTTCTTCAAGACAAAAAGAAAAAAGACCTATTCAAATAAATCTTGAAGAAAATGATAAAGAAGAAGTAGCTGAATCTTCAACTACAAAACAGAAAAATTCATTATCAAAATTAAAAAAAAAGTAATATTCTGTATGCAATTAGAAAGTCTGCAAGAGTAAATCAGTTCAACTAATGTTTACAAAAGTCAAAAGTCAT